CCTTCCTTCCTTCCTTCCTTCCTTCCTTCCTTCCTTCCTTCCTTCCTCCTTCCTTTCAAAAAGGATTTATTATTTATACCGTGTTCTGTCTGCATGTCCAACTGAACGCCAGAAGAGGACACCAGATCTCATTATAGATGATTGTGAGCCACCATGTGGTTGCGGTGAATTGAACTCAGGACCACTGGAAAAACAGGCCAGCTCTTAACCTCTGAGCCATGTCTCCAGCCCCAGTTCTAATCTGTTGGTCACAAGATGTTGGTTTCAACACAGAGGTTGGCAAGGGACGGCATCCGTTCAGGGGGATTACTTAAGTAACGAGCCTCTGGGCCTGCAACATTCCAACCAGAGCACTGAAATTCTCCTCGGCCAGTCTGCAGACACAGCCTCTTTTCAGGAAACCTCGTTCACAGTTCCCCTATCGTGGCCAGGCATCACTGATGTTGTGAATAAAAATGATGTTGGCCTATGTAATGTTTATTATTCTTAGCCCTATAATTATTTTTGTGGTATTATTTAACTGGCTATCAAAATGAAATGAAGACCAGACACCTGTTAGATTTTATAATTGCCTTATTTACCTGGGCTAGGTAGAAATTTCACCTACGCTGTCTCAATAACCTCACCATCCACCTCCCAGCTCCCATCCAATGCCATCTGCCTTAACTATCCTCATCTGGTCTGTCTTCCATCCATAATCTTATAAATACTTGTTTGCATTCTTTTTATTTGGGCCTTTCCACGCCATTATTGGAATTTTTCCCCCTGGCCCATGTGGTTTCTTCTCCATGTTAACCTATTGTGGGTTTTCCTTCCTCCTCTCTTCCCATCCACCTGTCCCCCACGATTCCCTTGTTCCCAAAGCCCGGGAACCTTAGCCAAGCCTACCCCATTCTGCCCTGCCCAGGTTTTAGGCCTTTTAATCAGCCAATCAGGTATAATGTCTTAGGTGGGTTTACAAAACAAGGACAGGTGTATACATATATTGTAGGGCCAGTGATTAACATCAACTTACAAGCATCAGACCAGCCAACTCCCCCTTTCTGTCTAAATAAAAAGGCCAATTTTTAAAAAAAATAATACAGTAAGAATAATTCTGAAACAATTATAAAAACCAATAGGTAAGACTATACATCACATTTTACCCATGAGGGGCCACATATTACATGTTAAATGTTGTATGATCCCTTGTAGTTAGGAAGGCTTGTCTTTAGGATCTGGTGTAGATGAGGCAGGGTCATGGGCAGGAGAGCCATCTTCAGCATAGCAGGCAAAGGCCATTGAGAAAGAAACTCCTAGAGGAGGAAAGACTGAAAGAGCCAGAAAGGTCAAGGACACCACAAGAAAACCTGCAAAAACAACTAACCAGGACCCATAGGGGCTTACAGAGACTGAGGCACTAACCAGAAAGCACTAACCAGAAAGCAACCATGATGGATCTAGGCCCCCCCCCCCCCCCCCATCTAACGGACGTACAGCTTGGTCCTCCTCCAACAGCAGGATCAGGGGCCATCTGTGACTGTTGCCTGCCAGATCCCTTACCCATAACTGGGATGCCTTATCCTGCCTCAGTAGAAGACGTGCCCAGTCCTACTTGATATGCCAAGGTGGGCTGATACCCATGGGAGGTCACCCCTTCTCTGGGAAGAAAAGGGGGAGAAGTGGGAGGGAAGGGGAGGGGACTGAGAAGAGAGGAGGGAGGGAAGTTCCTA